CTACATTTAGAACTCTAGAACTTGGACAGAGACATGGCCTTTAATCTCACTGAAACTCTAGTGTTCTGATCTCGAGAACGAAGGAGTTGTAATAAATTATTCCTTAAGTTCCTCCTGCCTCTACGAGTTGGCTTGTGTCTCCAAGACTTACTGCCCATTTTGGCAGAACAAGAGACCCTCTCCAGGTGTGTATTTGTGTTGGGGACCCCCCACAAGGCAGCATCATAGTAACTCGGGCTGTTGACTGTTGCTTCTCCAGTGCACCTTTTAAAGGAATTTTCCTCTGGCTCGCAAACCACTCAGGGATTTGGGAACCTTAAAATGTGAGGGCTGTCTCACTCTACGGCTTCTCTAAGTTGATCTTCCCCGTTTATAAATCTCTTTGAAAAAACACAGTTCTCCAGAGGCCCAGGTTTTTCATCTCGACCTGCTTGCCATGGTGCTTAAAAACCACATGGTTTTGGGGCGCCTGGGTGGCGCAGTCGGTTAAGCGTCCGACTTCAGCCAGGTCACGATCTCGCGGTCCGGGAGTTCGAGCCCCGCGTCGGGCTCTGGGCTGATGGCTCAGAGCCTGGAGCCTGTTTCCGATTCTGTGTCTCCCTCTCTCTCTACTCCTCCCCCCGTTCATGCTCTGTCTCTCTCTGTCCCAAAAATAAATAAACGTTGAAAAAAAAAAATTAAAAAAAAAAAACCACATGGTTTTAAAATAACGCTTCTCCCACCCCTTCTCGGTCTTTAATTTTGAACGGGCCATGCCATTCATTTTCTCAGCTTTTCCATTGCACCGTGGTCTTGAGATTTTCTTTCTTACCTAATACCGTGACTCTTTTGTTGCTTCTTTGGCCCTGCTCTTGACCCTCAAGACGCGGTCTCATTTTTGCCTTCACTTGTGTTTCTCCCTAGCCCCTTACAGTGCTCGACGGTCTGAAACGCTTATGTCAAAGGATGGGGTCAAGGTCAGACTCAGAGATCCCGTTCAAGCTTCTACCTTTAACATTATTCCCTGCTTTTCGGGTAACTGGGGCAGTGTAGACATGCCTCACCTGAAATGAGAACAGCACCTGGCTTATAGCAGGCGTTTAGAAAATACTGGTAAATGAATGAATTTATCTCATAACCCCATGAGCGTCCATGAACCAGGAAGTGTGAATTAAGACACCTAAGAACAAGAAAGGCCAGCCACCTCTAGGTCTAAAGCCCCTTGGATTTTATCAAAGATCTTGTGGAGGGGCGCCTGGGTGGCTCAGTCGGTTGAGTGTCCGACTCCAGCTCAGGTTATGATCTCATGGTACATGAGTTCGAGCCCCGCGTCGGGCTGTGTGCTGACAGCTCAGAGCCTGAAGCCTGCTTCCGATTCTGTGTCTCCCTCTCTCTCTGCCCCTCCCCTGCTCATGCTCTGTCTCTCTCTGTCTCAGAAATAAATAAAAACATTAAAAAAAAAAAAAAAGATCTTGTGGAAATGTGATGGAGAACCTTCTCCTGATGTGTATATGGGATATTTGTAAAGGCATAAAGGAAATCTAGGCCAAATTACTCACAAGGATTTAGAAAAGGGTACAAAGTTATGTACGAATTTCTTAGCACAGAAGCTTTGCTTCCCTCACACGTGAAAGCAAAATCTTCCTAAGCTAGAATACCTAGATAGGCTCTCTGTGTTACGAATTTTTTAAAATCTCCCATGGAGTATACATATTAGATGGTTAATAATTGCTGGTTGAGCGTATGGGTGGACAAACTGAATGTCTAGCAGAAGTGTGGAGGCATTCAACCTGAGTAGACAGCATGAGGGAAGAGAAAAGACTGAGAATTGGAATCCTGGCTGCTCCTCTCCCTGGCTGTGTGATCTGAGATATGTGTCCTAACTTCTCTGAGCTTCTGTTTCCTGTTCTACAAAATGGGAATATATATCTATATTTATGCCATCAGATTTCATTGAGGGACATTATAATGAACACGAACCTAGTGTTTACTGCACCTCACAAGTGTCCTCTCCTGGGTGAAGGTATTGCTATGAGACCTCAGTTCTGTGGTCCTAAAAAAACATTGGTTTGTTTGGCTCTTAGAGATGGAGTGAAGTATGTAGCTGATGACATTTCCCTTTTTGCATTCGCTTCTAGAGAACTTGGAACTAGATTTTCAGCCTGCTTCTAGCAAAATACGCAGTCTTAACTGTGGACCTGAAGGATTAAAGCCCCCCTGCCATTATCTTGTCTTACCTAGGCGTGGCTCTCCTCCTTAACAATTACATGATTTCATTCATTTAATTCTTACGCTTGGGTGTCACTTTGTAAGCCGGCTCAAATTGTTTTTGGAACAAGGCTTGGTGAGGGAGGAAGAAGGAAGGAAGGATGGGAGGAAGGGAGGATGAGTGGATGGAAGGAAAGGAAGAAAAAAAATTTAAAAAAAAGGGAGGGAGACAGAGAGAGGCAGAGAAAAAAAGGAAAGGAGAGGAGGAAGGCAAGAAAGTCAGATAGCCATTGCCTGTCCCTGAGGGTTACTGTGCTGTGTAAATATTTGCTTATACAGTTAAGTTCTGTGCAGTTTTACCTTCCTTCAGAGAACACAGTGAACCTTTTTTAGATACATGAGGTTACTAATAAAATTATTATTGATAATAAAACATATTTTTAGAGGAATTGAAATAGCAACAGTATCTAATTCTCTGACTTTCTTTTTTTAATGTTTTTTTTTTTTTTTTTTTTTTTTTTTTTTTTTTTTTTTTTTTTTTTTCCTACGTTTATTTATTTTTGGGACAGAGACAGAGCGTGAACGGGGGAGGGGCACAGAGAGAGGGAGACACAGAATTGGAAACAGGCTCCAGGCTCCGAGCCATCAGCCCAGAGCCCGACGTGGGGCTCGAACTCCCGGACCGCGAGATCGTGACCTGGCTGAAGTCGGACGCTTAACCGACTGCGCCACCCAGGCGTCCCTTTAATGTTTATTTTTAAGAGAGAGAGAGCGAGAGAGCGTGTGCATAATCAAGGGAGGGACAGAGAGAGAGGGAGACACAAATCTGAAGCAGGCTCCAGGCCCTGAGTTGTCAGCCCAGAGCCCAACGTGGGGCTTGAACTCACGGACCTGGAGATCATGACCTGAGCCTCAGTCGGATGATTGACCGACTGAGCCACCTAGGCACCTTTAAGCCTTTGACTTTCAAATCATGCTCCCTGGAGTTCCTACTGGTACATAAGCTCACAGGAAGTGGGAGAGTAGAGGGGAGCATTTGAGTTTCTTCAGCCAACGCCTCTCAGAGTTGTTATTTTGTCTTGTTTGTTTCAACCTACATGTAAAGCTTCTGTTAACAAAGGATTTGGGGGGAAACCAAAGTTTGACGCCACCAATATGTGTACATAACAAAAGAGTAAGTTGGTGGATAAGCCAAATTGAGCGTAAGGCATTTTTGAACTATAGATCTAAGTGTTAAGCTTGCTTCCCTTTTTATGTGGTTGTTGATTGGTTGGCACCGAGAACAAGTATAGCACTATAAAATGCTGTGAAAACATAGAAAAGGAAATTCATTTAAAGTAATATCCTGTAACAAATGTGAAATATGTTTTTTAAATGTTTATTTATTTTTGAGAGAGAGAGAGAGAGAGAGAGAGAGAGCAGGGCAGGGGCAGGGAGAGAGGGAGACAGAGAATCGCAAGCAGGCTCCACGCCGTCCATGGCAGAGCCGGATGTGGGGCTCAGTCCCATGAACCATGAGATCATGACCTGAGCTGAAATCAAGAGTCAGACGCTTAACTGACTGAGCCACCCAGGCATTTCACAGATGTAACATATTTGCAAAACATCAGTAACTTCACTGAAATGCTCAAATTATAATTACATGTAAAAATACCCCATCATCCGCACTCCCACCCTGCTTATTCCTTCACCAGCAGGAAATGCAGCAAGCTTTAGTGGAACTGCAATTTGAAATATTCTGGTGTGGATGAGCTAGGCGCATGGAGAATATAATCCGTTTTCAGTTTCATTCTCTTTCTACCCACTAGAGGGCAGCAATAAAGCACAGGGAAGGGGAAATTAACTCCAGCGCTGGCATTTAAGTTTCCCAGCAAGACTAGCCTTTCCAAAAACAAGAACACCTAGAAAGTCCCTGAGAGTCCCACATATGAATTATTAGAGGGTCAGGTTCCCTTCCCCTTTCCCTCAATATTGAGAGAACTTTGAAAACTCCCTTTGAAGTTATAAAAGTTACCTGTTGGCTTGGCCAAACATACTAATTGTAAATGTGAACATGACATCATCTCTAAAAAAGGCATTTATGTAAAAGTTAAGCGTTATAGTTGTATATTTCCATGCAGCACACGACTCCAAGACTTAGTGATTTACCACAACAGCCATTTTACCGTATCTCTCGATCCTGTTCATTGGGCACAGCTGGGTGGTTTTTCTGTTTTGTGTGATTTGACGGGGGACCGTGGACATCTAGGGTCTCAAATTAGCTGGAATGTCCAAAGTAGCCTACTCCGTGTGTAATTGTAAAAGATCCGCGTATAGAATTTCTGGTGCCTGGCGGTTGAGGCTAGCTGTCAGCTGGGAGCCCAGCAGGGACAGGTGAGCAGAGTACCCGGTCCTTCGTTGGCTTCTTCATGCGGGTTGGACATCTCAGAGCATGGCACTTGGTTTCCAAGAGGGAATATCCTGAGACTGAGCATTCCCAAAGGAAGGAGCCGGAAGGTTCCAGTCCCAGACATGGCTCAATGGTCAAAGCAGACACAGGGTCAGCCCAGGTTCAAGGGGAGGGAATCAGCTCCGGCTCCTGATGTGGAACAGTCTGTAGACCCAGGGAGAGGAGGGAATGGTGAGGGCCAATTGGAGGCCACGTGGACGGTTAAGAATGAGGTCATTTCTTACCTATGGGGAAGATATGTATAAATCGTGAGGGATACGGAGGGATATTGTCTTCATTTGATAAATGGAAATTGCTGCTTACTGTGGTACTTTAAGAATTAAGACGCACGGAAGTCATTCCTTATGTTCTTCTCCTTCCTCAGATCTGTTGCCGAAAGCAATAAAAATGGCCAGAGGATCAGTGTCCGATGAAGAAATGATGGAGCTCAGAGAAGCTTTTGCCAAAGTTGGTGAGCAGGCCTGCCACTCAAGTCACATGATTCTCCTCTTTGCTGAGTAGCTTCAGGACAGATTCAGTGAATCGGTAACATGAGCCAAACAGCGGAAGTGAAAGGAATACAGCGGTATTGGTTAGAGGAGCTGAGGGAACTTAATTTTGAAACATCTGCTTTAGGAAGATGGCTTCTTTCTCTATTAAAACATGGAATATGGACCCTCTCACCCCTGCCGCTTTTCTCATATTCTTATCTGGTCTGATTTCCTTGGTTTCCTTGGTTTTTCTGCTGTTCCATACTCTGGCTTTGTATCTCTAAGCTTGTGATGTATTTTCCCATCTCTTTCTGTAAAAGTCTCTTCAGATTCTGTCGCCAGAACCTCTGCTGTGACGTTATGACGCGTGGATGTTGGAAGTGACGCTAATGGCCCTCCCCGGTAGAAACAGGCCTCTTGCGAGACTCTGACTCTCGCATGGGGTCAGGCTGCGACCCCCGAATGGTTGCCCCTCCGGCCCACTCACCTCCCGTCTCGCCTTCCCCCACCTCTTTACCCTGTTTCCTGAACTGCCCTGAAATTTCCAGTCCTCTCTTGCCTTGCAGATACCGATGGCAATGGGTACATCAGCTGCAATGAGTTGAATGATTTGTTCAAGGCCGCTTGCCTGCCTCTGCCCGGGTACAAAGTGAGAGAAATTGCAGAAAACCTGATGGCCACAGGTGACCTGGACCAGGACGGGAGGATCAGCTTTGACGAGTTTATCAAGGTGGGTATGAGGCAGGACGCACGGAGATGCGTTTGAAGCTTGGGGCCTCAACCTGAGAAATATCCAGAAATGGATTCCCACCCTCCCCGCCTCACTATTACATATTCTTCCCTTTGGGATTCTCTTGATCACAGATTGGGTTTCTAAAGATACACTCCACTTTTGCAGGTTTTCCACGGCCTGAAAAGCACAGAGGTTGCCAAGACCTTTAGGAAGGCGATCAATAAGAAGGAAGGCATCTGCGCGATCGGTGGTACTTCGGAGCAGTCCAGCGTCGGCACCCAGCACTCGTATTCAGGTGCGCTGTCCCGGCGGAAGTGGGGAGGGTGCTGGCACGAGGAGAGACCCGGGGGGTAGCGGGAGAGGGAGCCATATGGAAAGGATCCGTGCCTTCTGGGGCTCCACATTCTAAACTCGGTGTTAAACCTAAGGGGTGCAAACCGACACAGAAGCCAACGCGAGTGTATTGACTACTGCCTGTTTCCCTGTGGTTGGCGAGCTAATTCCAGGGACGTGATGGAGGAGGAGCAATCCTAGTTCTAGGTAGAGTCCGATACCAAGTCATCTCAACAGCATTTAAAAAATACATTGAAAGGAAACCAATTTGACAATAAACTTCATATATTGAAAGAAAAATACATTGAGGCTGGAGGGAATTATGCTAAATGAAATTAGTCAGAGAAAGACAAATGTCACATGACTTCACTCATACGAGGACTTTAAGAGACAAAACAGATGAACATAAGGGAAGGGAAACAAAAATAATACAAAAGCAGGGAGGGGGACAACACAGAAGAGACTCATAAATATGGAGAACAAACAGAGGGTTGCTGGAGGGGCTGTGGGAGGGGGGCTGGGCTAAATGGGGAAGGGGCACTAAGGAATCTACTCCTGAAATCGTTGTCGCACTATATGCTAACTAATTTGGATGTGAATTTTAAAAAATTAGATAAATAAATAAGTAAATAAATAATACATTGAGGCTGCCAGAATTCCTTTATAAATCTTTTGGATAAAATGAACTATTCAGGCTTTTATCTCCTCCACACTTCACTCCACACTTATTCTCAATGCCTACTGATGGGTCAAGAATATTACATTTTTACTGATTTGGAAGGAAGCTGTGTATTTATTTTACAGGCTGCCATCCAACAGCCCTAATGGAAACTATTAAAAATTCAAACGGTACAGTAATCCAACGAATCCCAAACTGAGTTCTTTAACACGTTAGTGGATCTTAAAGATAAGTTCATGGTTAAGTACCATTTGCGATTGTGAAGGCAGTGTTTAACCTTTTGCTTTTAAATACAGAAATCATATAAATATGCATTATGAATATTCAAGACAATGAAGACTCGAACTTTGGTGACTCGGGATTCTTCTGTGTTTTCAGTGACACACAATTTGGGAAACACCGTACTGGGCTGTAAGGCATAGCGTGAGGTTTCATTAAAACTTCTGAAATGAACTTCTGGCAGCTTTACTGATAAGAAAGAAAGATTATATCACACAGGATTTTATTTCATAACAACTATATACAGAAGCTCAAAGATCTTGTAGGGATTATCTGTGATCATCTCACATTTAAATTGGCTGGGCTGAAGGCAGCCGCTGAGTTTTATCCTGTAAAGCATTAGATCACATTCATATTTAAATTGTATCTAAATATAAATAAAATATATCTCTAACATTTACAAATATAGTTACATATTATATATCTATTATATCTAATATATAATAATTAGATATTATTAAATCTGCTTGCCATATGTTTTATGACTTGGAGTGAATAGAGGTCCTGTGCCTGGTCCTCAAGTCACTGAGATTTTTCAGTGTCAATAAACGTAAGATGATAGGATAAGGGACCAGATAGCATCTCACTGGCCCTCCTGGGCATGGCAATCTGAGATCCATGTACATAATTTTATGTCAGATTTTCACTTTGCAAATAAGCCATTTTTATCATTTACTTGCAGAGGAAGAGAAGTTTGCCTTTGTCAACTGGATAAACAAAGCCCTGGAAAATGACCCCGACTGTCGACATGTTATCCCAATGAATCCAAACACAAATGATCTCTTCAGTGCCGTGGGAGATGGCATTGTCCTTTGGTAAATAACGCTTCCTTCTTGGTTTCTAAGACCTTCCTGGAATTTTCTGGAATACCAGCAGTTCATTGTCTATCCTAGGCCAGCGTCCTTTGGTGCTCAGCGGGACTTGAAATGCTTTCTGCACTTGCACTTGGCAGGTCCCGGAAAGCAAACTAATTTCACAAGCAACTTAAAATGAGACACGTAAAGCTGCTGTTGTTTGGTTGGAGGGGAGGGATGCACAGTATACAGACAAACAAACACAGGTGGAGATACAATAATACAAGGTCAAAAGCAATTACTTTTGGAACATATGCCACTTGGCTTCATCTGAAAGTACCTAGATTCAGAATAGCACCGTGATGATTGAAGCAACCCAGTGCCAGTCCTTGTGCAGAGACTTTTGAGTGGTACGTACCAACATGCATTTCAAATGCTGAGGACACCTGGAAAAAGAGGAATGCATTCTGTTTGCGGAAGGCCTCTACAGCAATTGGTCCTCATGGTGTCTTTGAAATACTTCTGTAGCTCTTGCTTTAGCAGCTTCTAATGCCATTGTAAGACACGGTATTAATGAAAGAAAGGGCTTGGAATAGCCAATCCCAGGTGAGCTCAGGAGTTGAAGGGAAGGATGGATGGGCAAGATTCAAAACCCCCTCTTCCCTGCTCTGGGCAGAGCAATTCTGCTTTCGGTATTTTATTTATTAGAGTTCACCATAAGATTTCATTTTTAAAAATTTCAACTGCCAAAAAAAAAAAGACGTAAAAAATGTAGGCAGGAGAAAATCCTAATTCCTTCGGTTGGCCCACAAAGCACCCCATCATCTTCCCTCAGTCTCCTGCTAGCTTTACCTCCCAAGACCCCCATGACTCAGGGACCCAGCGTGGGACACTGAGTGAATGGCTGCGGGAATGGCTACATCAGCAACCATACTTACTCTTCCCCGTACACGTCCTGCTCATAACTGTAACTGTGGCTTTGCCTTTTATTCTCCTCTTTAAGAATGCCTTTCCATGGGGGTGCCTTGGTGGCTCAGTTGGTTAAGCATCTGACTCTTGGTTTTGGCTTAGGTCACGATCTCATGGTTCGTGAGATCAAGCCCCACGTCGGGCTCTGTGCTGACAGTGCAGAGCCGGCTTGGGATTCTGTCTGTCTCAAAAAAAAAAAAAAAGAATGCCCTTCCCATCATCTCCTCCTATGGAAATCCACTTACCATGATAGTTTTTGGTCTATTCCAATCCTCTGGTGGTCTCTCCCTTCACTGGATTCTTAAAGCACATATTCGTGGTCCTTTGGGAGCAATCATAATGTTCTTCTTTTGGACTGTTGGGTAACTTTTCATATCGATATATTTTGTCTCTATAATTGGACCGTAAGCTTTTCAAGAGCAAGGTTACCTTATACTTTCTGAGCCACCCCTCCCTCCTACCATTTCCCAAGGCTTCTAGTTCACCAACAGCTTCAGATTTTTCAAATAATAATTTAGGGGTTGGTTTTGCCTGAATCGCAGTAAAGTATCTTTTATTTAAATATATGGAAACACACACACACACACACACACACACACACACACACACACCACAAAGTTATGGAAATACATCTTTAAAGGCCACCCCAAAAAAGGCAGTTGCATACAAATTGTTAGGAAAAAATGTTAATGCTGATTTCTCATTAGACACAAATAGCCAGGGTCAAGTTTACAATTCTGTGAATTTGTTGTTGTTCCTTTGGATTTGCTTTTTCAACTTCCTTTCTTTAAATAAAGTGGAGGTGACCTAAGGAAATGTATTTTTTATGCTCCACTGAAGTTGTTAAATGAATGCTAAATGAGTCAAATCAGTTTTTCATAAATAATAACTGCTCACTGCAGATGTCTGATCAGTATATTAGACACTTCACTGGGTGAAATTTCTCCAGCATTGATACAACAGTGGGTATAACAGGTACAGCAGAGTATAAAACATTTTATCATCCACTTAGTTAAAAGTATAGAGTTCCACCAAGTGTCAGATAGAAATTTCGACATTACATGAGCTCAGAAGTGTATAGATGGTCATTTATATAGTGGGGACAATTTTCACAGCTGAGAAAGTAAAGCACTCCTGGTGAATTTGCCTTGGCTTTCTACCCAGAATTTCCTAATATGCTAAAGAAACCAGGACGATTTTGCAGCTTGTTAGGTACATGAATAAAGCGGGGTCCTTATTGCCTGCCTCAGTATATTAGTATGATTTCAGGAACATTAACCTTTCCCATAGATAGTGTGAATCTAGTCAAAATCGCATAACTGATTTGATATCTAAACGCTGGGTCACATGAATTATATTATGGTCTTATTTGCTTCTGACATTGCTAGAATTCAAATTCAATATTACTGGACTCTGTCATTTGGAAGCCAGCTTTCTTTAATTTAATTGTTTCTTTCTCAGTAAAATGATCAACCTATCAGTGCCAGACACGATTGATGAAAGAACAATCAACAAAAAGAAACTCACCCCCTTCACCATTCAGGTATGTCTTCTCTCCGTTACCAAACTATAGGATTGTGTTTGGGATGCGTGAGCCCCGGAACTGCAGAGTCAGCCTTTTCCGGGGGCTTGGCCATTATGCCAGAACTCAGGTTTGCGGCTGGTGATTTGTCATGACTAGTGGGACAGAGAAAGACATTTTGTTTTTGTCTTTCATTAACAGAGCAGGGGGGCCGGGGAGGGGGACCATTGGTGGGACATAAGCAGTAGTGGCCGGGCGTCGTTTGTTTTGGCAATTATGAATACAATTCACATTGGCTAAAGTTTCAACTCAGACTTTCCCTAGCAGTTTATCTTTGAGCTGATGCCAAACATGCAGCATTTTAGCTGAAAAGATAAGCTTTTCTAAGAATTGAAGGGCTGAGAGACGGGAAATGCTCTGGCAGCCTCCCGGTGGTATTGGCCACGGCCACTGGTGTGATAAATATAACCTGGTTTTATGCCTTCAATTTGTGAATTAACTGGAACAGTAACTAGTGGTTAAGTAAGCCGTATTTCTATGTTCTGTCCCAGCGTTTTAACATTATTGTGATTCTCTCGTTCTGGAACCGTGTCTCACTACTTAAATCATGAACAGTATATTATGCTGTTTGGCGTAAGCAACGCTGTGTACTTTTAACATGCGAGGGGTAACCAAAGTGAGAACAATGATTAACCATATATGAACGTGCTTACTATTAAATTTAACCTTGAGGTTAAATTTTAATCTTGGCCATAAATAGAAACGGTGTTTTTATTCATCATTTGAGCTCTCCACCAAGGCAAAACCCCACTTCCTCCCCCCCCCTCCAAAAGTTCCAAGTCACCGGTAGCCTGTGTTTTGTTTTTAGTTTGTCATAAAAACGACTTCTGTACATCCCTACCTCAAAATCTTCTTCTTTGCGTACCCAAGAAGAGGATATAGATTCTAGACTGAAAATGTCATTGATTCTATTCCAACCGTGTTTGAGATACATCACGTGTGCTGTTGCTAGTTCTAAGAACGGGTGGTCTATATATGTATGTGTGCATGTGTGTGTGAGTGTGTGTAGGTGTATGTGTACTTAAGGTCCCTAGATATTATGGTTACTCAGTAAATTGTCTTAGTGAACACCACTCTCTCTTTCCCAGGAATTTGATTTGTATCTTTTTCATTCCCTTAATACCCAATCTGAAAGTCAAAAAGCTGTTTTGTTACTCTCTTTTATGACCTTGATTTACATCAACACTTGTGCTATTAATGATAGCCAGTGACAAGACAATGACCACCCTCAAAGGTACCCCTCTCTGTCTGGCCCAGTGGGGATGTTGAGTGGGTAGGCTCCATCACAGGGCAAAATAGAAAAATGGAACACTCTTTAGTTTCCTCCGGCCCAGGGTGGGCCTTCAACTCAGGGAGCCGGTTTGATTGAACAGACACCACTTATAAGCCCAGTGCCTGGGTTACCAGATTTCCTCTTTCAGGTGTTACTGCTTTCTTTTGATGTTAAAATCTAGTGAAGACCAGGCCTCTAGACCTGTGAACTTTCCAGAAGCAAAACATTGTTGTCGAACGTTTTGCCATCTGCAAAGTCAAAACTGAAATTTGTACAACTTTCCTCCCTCAGGAGAATCTGAACCTGGCTCTGAATTCTGCCTCAGCCATTGGATGCCATGTGGTTAACATTGGGGCTGAGGACTTGAAGGAGGGGAAGCCTTACCTGGTGCTGGGACTTCTGTGGCAGGTCATCAAGATTGGGTTGTTTGCAGACATCGAACTCAGCAGAAATGAAGGTATGAACTAAGACACAGATGTTATTAATGGCGTGGCTTTTTATTAATACATGTGCGGGAGGCTGTAGGAGGAAGATGTCAAGAATACTCAAGCCCAGAATCCCCAGTTTTTGAAAACTATGGTTATATTGAATCTGTTGCATTAATGTAACAGTTTCTGTCCACACTGACCGGGCTTTTGAAAAGGACAGAGCAAAAGCTTTTTAAGACCACAGGCTAATAATGCTGCTTGTTTAGAACCTAGAGCTCAGTCTGGCTGTCTGGGATCCAACCTCAAGAGCTTTTCTGGGTTCACTTTGCCTTTAGAATACTTTGTAACAAAATAGACGACTTCTTTTAACTTGTGTTTTATGAAGCAATTCTCATTCATATACTGCAGTGACAGCGCCAGATGAGGAGAGACGTGGTCTATTTCTTAACCAAGACTGTGGAGGATTGCATTGAGGGTTTCAGAGTTCTCAGCTAAATATTGTAGCTGTCAGTCTTAGCCTGTCTGCTTCGGCACCCTCTCTCATTTAAACAATCACAGCCCTGTTGTTTAGACAGAAGTAGCAGATTGTGATAAGAATAAACTGAGGGTTGATGGGGGGTGGGAGGGAGGGGAAAGTGGGTGATGGGCATTGAGGACGGCACCTGTTGGGATGAGCACTGGGTGTTGATGGAAACCAATTTGACGATAAATTTCACATTAACATAAAATAAAATAAAAGGATAGGGAAGTATAATCCTCCTGGAAGTAAAGGAGATCCCAAAATTGAATAAAAAAAATAAGAATCATACAAAAAACAGGGTTACCTTTTAGTTTTCTGGTACAGATCCCAAGAATATGAAATCTGTAGCCAGATTCTAATCTTTAGTTATATATACTTTCTAATTTCTATCTCCAAATCACAATAACCCTTGAAGAATCCTGGGTTGCTATTTTTAAACCAATATATTCAGCATGATATGGAGTAGAAAAAGCAAATAGGAAACTTAGAACCCACGAGAAAGAATATTGATTTGCAAATTATGACCTCAACTGCATTTAGACCTTCTAGCCCAGCAAAACCTATTTATTCAGCAGGGAAAAATAGAGGAAAGAGTTGATTACACTTTTTGAGATGCTAATAATGATCCGAGCGAGTATTTGAAATACAAAACACCTATGGGAATAGCGAGAGGACAATTGTCATTATTATAAACATTTTTTTAAATGTTTACTTATTTTTGACACACACACACACACACACACACACACACACACACACACACAGCATCAGCAGGGGAGGGGCAGAGAGAGAGGGAGACACAGAATCCGAAGCAGGCTCCAGGCTCCAAGCTGTCAGCACAGAGCCCTACACGGGGCTCGAACTCACGAACCGCAAGATCGTGACCTGAGCCGAAGTCGGACGCTTAACCGACTGAGCCACCCAGGCGCCCCACAATTGCCATTATTATGAAATTGATCTTTTCAAAGCAAAACTGTTGGCATGTTGTGAAATGTGGTCCGATGGAGCCAGAGGAGCGTTCTGAGCCGGTAGTCTTGGTTATTTCTGCGTCCCTGCCCTGGTGCTCCTAGGCACAGCTTCGAGATTCACTGGCGACTTGCCTTTCCCACCTGAAAAATGAGGACAGTAGATAAGCTCTCAATACCTTACATTTCTTTTCAGGGAATGATCATAAAGCGTTTATTCCGTGGGACAGGCTTATCAATACCTTTACCCCAGAGAAATAACATTGCCACGTTGGCTTTCCGGAAGAGCCCAGGGAGAGTTGTAACTGCTCCCCTCAGCTATCCCCTGGATTTATCTTTCTTCGGCTTTTGTCCTTCAGCTCTGATTGCTCTTTTGAGAGAAGGGGAGAGTCTGGAAGACCTGATGAAACTCTCCCCTGAGGAGCTCCTGCTGAGGTGGGCTAATTACCACCTGGAAAACGCAGGCTGCAACAAAATCAGCAACTTCAGTACAGACATCAAGGTAGGAGGCGTGTGCGGGGAAGGGGGGTTGGGCGTTAGTGGAGAAAAGACAAAGACTCCAGGCTACCTTCTGTCACTTCAGAAGCGCTAGGGTTCGTGAGAGGGTGGCTGGTGTCCTGGGAACTGCTCGATCCTCTCCAGGGTCCTTGTGCCGCTCTCCCTCTGGGCCCCACGCAGATCTGTCCAAGGTCCTAGTGACTTGGATGCAGCAGCCTCCAAGGGAGAGGGGCCTCTCCGGAGCCAGAATGTCAGCGAGTAGAGAGTAGAGGGAGGGAAGACGGCTTTTCAGGGAGGAGGGTATGTGTAGGACTGTGATGCCTTTCTCATGTTATCAGTGGGAGCATCAGATGAGCAGCCTTTCCAAAAAAAATGAGGATTACTCTTCTAGTTCCACGAAGAATACCAAACACGGTATCTCGTGCATGCCAGGTACCGTTCTACCTGCTTTATACATGCATTGGCTCATTTGATCCTCACAATAAACCTTTGAGATAAAAATTACTATTTTCTCATTTGACAGATAAGGAGACTGAGGTTAAAGAGAATTTAGGTACATGGTTCAAGTTCGCATAGCTGGGGAACGAGATCAGGATTCAGAGCCGGCAGTCGTGGGGACTCCATGGCCCCCATCTTTGACCATCGGACTTACCGCCTCTCTGAAACAACTCGCGGATTTCTTGAAAGGTTTTCATTTGCAGAAACCAGAGTGGTTTTTAGAAGCTAATGATCCTGGAAACCATCTGCAATGAGAATTTACCCCAGGGCATGTAGAAGGGCGGGCAGTCCCACAACAGAGATCCAAAGGGGGAAAGGCTGAGGGAAGCATGCACTGTTTCAAAACTTGGTGAAAAGTTCCACGTGAAGGTGAAGGACAGCTGTTGACATTGAAGATGTGCTGAGGTAAAAAGAGCTTAAGGAGACGTCAGGTAGATCATAAGGCACTCCCTAGTAGTAAACGGTGTGAGATGCTAGGGTGCAGCATGAGAAAAACATTTCGGTCTCCGCCTTCTCAAAAGCTGAAGAAATTTTCTCCCAAGAGCCGGAGGAAAGTTCACATGCTCACCAAAGTCAACCCAGGTTTATATTTCTTTAAGTGACAGCTTCCCCCTGCTGTGGACTCAGTGGCTGCCAGGCCTGGTGCCAGTTAGACTGAAGCTTCTAGATGGGAAGTCCCGGATTCTTTAGGACCTAAGCTAATCATGCAAAATTAATTTTTCTAACTCTACAACTTTCACTAATTGTTAATAGTCTAGCTACCACCAGCCAAAGAGGGGTTTAACTGGAGCCGGACAGCAGCATTATCTTCCTTTCATCCCAACAGTTAAGCTCTGCACCTGTTTCAGCCAGAATTTTCAAGCTTTTCATCCAAAATTAGGCTGCTTCATCTGAGCCATAAATGTATCTGATTTCCCATCACTAAAAACTGCATTTTTTAGAATAATAACCATTGGAACTAGCAAGCTGAGCATATACAAGGGTTGTGCCTGTGATCAAAGAACAGCTGTATCCCGTCCAAGGTCAGTGCTGTGACGTATGTCAGAGCATCTGGCAACTTTGGGGGGTTTCAATCATATGAAGTCAGCACAGGTGGGGAGAACACCCACCCCCGAGTGAGTGAGAAAGGTTTATTAGTATATCCAATCTGCTAAAAATTTAGCCATCTTTTTCAACTTTGTGGTAAACATTAAATGCACTTGTCATAGTAATATTTCCTTTTATGTAAAGATTGTTTGTGAATGCTTCAACCTTCTGTCTCTGAAATCTTTCTTTTTCTTTTGCTGATTGTCCATTTAAATGTATTTTTAAACTCTGCTTTAAACTTCTGCTTCCTTTTCCTGTCACTTTTTTTTTTAAATTAAACCTTAGCTGACTGACTTCTACAGCAATATAAAGGTATATATATTTTTCTGTATACAATTTAATACATATACATAAAGTATTTTTCTCCCCTAAGAACAACAGAGTGGCATTTGCCTCTTTGGATTGCCTTGTGTGTATGTCGTATATTTGTTACACTCCTTTGAAAAAGAAAGTCCAATATGGTATGTAAACAGACAAATCGAAAATTCAAATTAGTGAATGTTTCCAGCTTTGTTAATTAAGTTGCATTCTCGAATGACAGTCCAATAAGAAAATAGAATATGTTTGCTTTGGGGAAATTATTGTCGTGCTAAGTATGTAATTAGCTGCGCTGTTTTGAAATTGTAATTTCTTAATTTCTCACAGGACTCAAAAGCTTATTACCACCTGCTTGAACAGGTGGCTCCGAAAGGAGATGAAGAAGGTATTCCCGCTGTTGTTATTGACATGTCAGGACTCAGGGTAAGGCCGTGTCCAAAGTTGCATTTAGAGGACATGATATTGTGTTGGGAGTTCTGTCGCCCCGCATGACGCTGACTCCGGGGCTCCGCGAGTGGATATCTCTGCATAAAGCCCTGCTAAGGCCATTAACAACAGTTAATGGTTTGGGATAACAATTGTGGGAAATGGAATCTGAAAATGGACGTTAAGGAAAGAAAGAAACTAATACCAGTCCAATGCCACACACTTCTGTATGTGTCTCGTCATTGAATAGCACTCAACAGCACCAAGAGGGATCATTAGGTTCATTTTTAGGTACCTGAGTATTATTTCTAGAAACCAGTGGGATATTTAGGCAGATAAATAAACTATCACTTTGTCATTGAAAAAACCGAGTCTGAGAAGGATTAATTAATATGTCCGAGATCATATATATGACAGATTATTGGAAGTTATCGGACCCAAGGCTGGGGTCCTTTTCCTCTGGTAATAATAAGGAAAGACTACATCAGTGGGGATAATAGGAGAAAAGGGCTGGGTAGGATTGTACGAGTTCTTAGAAGTGTCTGGTTTGAGGATTCTTAAAAACAGTCAACACAGACTTTAGTTTTTCCACCACTTTGGTATTGACCTTGAGAGGTTACCTTATCCATGTTTGTGCCTCATTTGCTATCATTAGAGTTAAGTCCAATCAGTTAATGTTAAAGTTAACTCATTTCCGAATGAGGAGCTTGTGACATGTATCATGTACAGTGTCATCTAGTAAAGCATTATATTAAATCAATTTAAGTTCTGTTTTCTGAAAACTGGTGGTTTCATAGACTCTTAAGAATTTTAAGAATGGTGGACCGCCTTTCAACGAAACTTTACCTTCTAGTAAGCGTCTACTTACAAAGGACTGAAGATCCTCTAGAACTATTTGAATAGACTTTTAATATATCAAATCCTCAATGAAGTTGACAAAAGCCAAATTGCTCTTATGTCCTTCTCAATGACACTATATAGCTTGCCTATCAGTGACACTATGTCGCTCACCTATCAACGATAACTATGTGGCTCACCTAACTGAGCACATTTTATTTTGTTTGAGTTGCAAGTATACCAACTCAGTTTGGGAAAGGTGGTTACACTAATCAGAAGTTCTTAGTGACAGGTGTAAATGTCTTCGATGAACTGAGAATAGGAGTATAATTTTTGATGATCCCATGAACACTGCTGGCAGACACAATCTCACGGACTCTGTGCAAGCAAATAATAAAAGGAAGCTTAATCACAGAACATAATTAAGATCAACTTAAATGATAAGATCGTAGACTCTCTTTAAAGACAGGACAACCAAGCATTCATCTGAAGTGGTTCTGTATAGAGATGAGAGATTCAGTTACTCCATTTCTGAGATTCATTTTACTTGTAACTTGCTGATTTCAGTTTAGGCAAACGTAAGTAATAATATGCTGTGGTTAAGTGTCTATCTGAGGTTAAGCCCTGAGGGTTTCAGTATGGTTCCCGTTACTGTTTCATGTTCCCTGCCTACTTTGTGCATGGGGGTTCTTGACCCAGCCTTGACATGACCTTTGTCGTTACAGGAGAAGGATGACATCCAGAGGGCAGAATGCATGCTGCAGCAGGCAGAGAGGCTGGGCTGCCGGCAGTTTGTCACAGCCACAGATGTTGTTCGAGGGAACCCCAAGTTGAACTTGGCTTTCATCGCCAACCTCTTCAACAGATACCCTGCCCTGCACAAACCAGAGAACCAGGACATCGACTGGGGGGCCCTTGAAGGTAACTGGAAACCTGTCACTTACAGGTTCGGAAAGGCATTCACAATTCTGATTCAAGGGCAGTTTGAAATTACCTGCTAAGCAAATGGGAACCCCTCACACGTTGGCGAAGGTTATCAATTCTCTGGTATATAACAAAGAGAATAAATAGATTAACCAAGCCAATTACAACCTAGCAGAAATAACCAAGTACCATTATGTCACATCCATTATACATAGGCTTCATCCATTACCAGAATTAAATGTTTTACGGAAGACAATGCATTTAATTATAGGATGAAATAAATTCTGAGTTCCAAAAACCTAATTTATGTACTTAATGGACTGAGTGTTAATTCCTGGAGGCAAGAGGTTGCAGTCACTCTTCATCTGAAAATATTTAACTTAATGCTAGGAGGTGTTTAGTGAGGTTTTTGTTTTTGTTTTCTTACTTTGATTTGGATTTGGGGGGGGTGGGTGGTGAAGAGTAAAGTTTTGAGGCAGCATCTCTGACGGTTGGAATTTGGGGGTTAGTGCCCTAAGATTGAACATGTAACTATAGTCTGGTTCTTTTTTCCATCATGAATTAGTTTCAATATTGAGACCAAAAAAAAAAAAAAAAAAAAAAAAAAAAAAAATCAAGACAAAATTGATATTAAATGAATATCACCAAAGAAAGGAAATCCAGATTTGAAGTATTGATTGTTTTTGTTTTTTGGTTTTTGTTTTTCTCTGCGATGCTTTACCCGAGCCGGATGTGCAAAATCAATCTGTATTCCAACAGTGGTGCATTTGAATCATTTGATAAATTGTGGTCAGGGGTCCAGGCATTTTGTTGACTACCGAGTACATACATCAAGGCCTCTAATCAGCCACTTCCAGCTGCCTCTAGAACATCCCCGTTTGGTCCCTCCACCATCACTTGAAATTCAGCATGCGCCAAACAGAATTGATCATCCCCCCCAGCCCCCCACCCGCTCCCAGCACGCCTTTCTGCCCTCCGGCCAGCCCACCCACTCTCCTTTAGAAACTCCATTTTCACTAATCATACCCCTTTTTGTCTCCCCAAAACCCTGCTTTGATATTTTCCTCTTCTTCACCTCTAAATCTACTGAATTAGTAAATACTAATAGTTCTTCCTGCAGAATGGCTTTTAGATTGTTTTCCCTTACTGCTTTCTGGGCTCTTATTAAATCATACACCACCCAGTTCAGTAGGTCTTAAGGGCCTGGTCGTCTGTTTATCAAGCACTTGAACGTGCCCATGTGCCAGTGGCGCACACTGTCCCCTCTGCGTATTTAATTTAAATGCACATTGCCTTTCAGTAATTTCCCACACTGCTGCCAGGCACATCACAACACCACCTTCATTATATCTCTGCCCTGCTCAAGAATTTATTACAGTAATAATAATTAAAAAAAAGAACCCATAATGACTGGCATTGTTTAATATATCAACCAACATCTGGTAGCTGGCATTCAGAGATCCCCGATTCCAGTTCCAGCCACTAGGCAGCCTTATCTCCGCGGAGAACACAGATCCCTGAAAAATGAGTTCCTAATGATTTTGACGCAGACCTTGCCTGCCACTCCTCTTTGTGTTCCTGTCTACCCTGCCTCCTCTCCCCACCACTTACTCGTCCCTCAAATCCTCTTTGCTGTCCAGATTCTACTGGTCCTGTAAGTGAAGCTCAGATTCCACTCCCTCCAAACCTAGCCCACACTGTTCTCTCTCCTTTCCGAGCTCAAGGGGCAAGTATGTTTGCCTCCCGTGTTAGCCGTCTAGCTTGCGTGATCGCAGTTTGAGGCCTGAAAGCCTTGTTGACCTTGAAAGAATGCTAGCCTCTTAAGTGGCGGCTCTGAACCGCTTCCCCACACAGGAGCTCGTGCACCACTAATGGATGGTACGGACACACACTCATGGAATTGGAAGAGAGAAAAAAATTAACCGCGTAACAAGTGTCACCCAAATCTATTAAGGTTTATTGAGTAAATTTTCTTCATTCTTTGTTTCGTTTTTCGGATAGCCTCTTGAATGAAACTTTGACCATAAAAAAGGCCTCTCTTCTTAGGGGCCTGAAAGATAACGGGTCTTCATTAATTTAGGTGAGACAAGAGAAGAGCGGACATTTAGGAACTGGATGAATTCCTTGGGCGTTAACCCTCGAGTCAACCATTTGTACAGGTAAGGATATGTAGGGACTCATCCTGTTTTTTGCTTTTTTTTTTAAACATACAGATATATTTTTTTTAAGTTTATTTATTTATTTTGAGAGAGATGGGAACAAGAGGAAGAGGGACAGAGAGAGAGGGAGAGAGAGAGAGAGAGGATTCCAAAGCAGGCTCCACGCTGCCAGCGCAGAGCCTGACATGGGGCCAGAACCCGTGAACTGTGAGATCACAACCCTAGCCAAAACCAGGAGTTGGACGCTTAACCGACTGAGCCGCCCAGGCGCCCCGTGGAGGGACTCATCTTTAATGTGAGACACCGAGACCTTGGAAGATCCCTGGGGTCTCAGATATCTCTGTGGCATGCAGTTCTCTTCCCCAAATGTGTGCATCTTGGTGAGAAGGGGGATGGTCCCAAATGGAGACGCAGGTGTTGAATCTTCAGCCGAGAAACTCACTTCCATCAACCATCTTTGCTATGTGTTCACTAGAAAATCATAAGCCGGCAACCGGACAGATTTACTACATATTGTAAGCCTGCGCTCCGCTCAGACGCAGGCAAAACGAACAAACAAACAAGTTAAGTTCATGGTGATGAAGTTAATGGCGTCTCCCATGCCATTTGTTGAAGCCGCGTTTCTTTTCCTGGAGGCAGCGTGTTCCGGCTTATGGGAGCATAGGTAGTCACACCTGGGAGAGACCGTGAGCAAGTTTCTTCAGTTCCTCTGAGTCAGAGCTAAAGATGAAGCTTCTAATACTAATTTTGCCAGGTTGTCGCAAATGTCCCTTGTGCTGATGTATGAAGAAGTGCCTGCCCACTGCGGGCCCTTACTAAAGGGTGGCGATCTGAGGATCCTTTTCTGTTTGTTTTTGTTCAGTGACTTATCAGATGCCCTGGTCATCTTCCAGCTCTATGAAAAGATTAAAGTCCCTGTTGATTGGAACAGAGTAAACAAACCACCATACCCCAAACTGGGAGGCAACATGAAGAAGGTAAACAGTGACTCTTGCGATGTTCCAACAGGCAGGTGAAGCCATAAGCCTGCGGGAGCACCCTGTGAATACTTGATTAGGGGGCCAAACTTAGATAAGTAATGTTTATCCAGGGATTAAATTATAGTACAGCAATCAGAAGCCTGAGTAGTTTCATTACAGTGAGCCCATTATTTCAGTTGATTACTTATTTATAATTCCACATCGGATGTCTTTAAACACGATGATGTAAAAATTCTAATTAAGATAATTAGAGCGAGCAGGACTACAGGGTTGCTCTTCCACCAGCAGGATCCTTATTCTTATTTTCTAAAGAATTCGAGCTTTATACGGGCAGTTTGACTTGTACAAAGAGTTTGTCTCATGTCAGCACAGTGGGGACACATTGTTTCGTAAAAGCGGAAGTGGGGTTGGCACAAATATTTCTCACCATTTCTTGTCCCTTCGGCTCTTAACGATCCAAGCGTAGCCATGGGAATACCTGTCCCACATGTCAGCCTGTTATGTGCACGTAAAATGGAGGATCCGGATTTTCTGTGTCCGCCTCCACAAATTCAGTTGCTTTAGGAATATTATGGACAGGTACCTGAGCGTGGCCCTCTGTTTCTGTAGTGTGATACAGCCATGACAGTATTCATAATAATGAATTCATTTTGGTTTTGCACTTGGAGTACACTAGAAATATTTTTTTTTTTTTTTTGGTGGAAGTGAGGGGTTCTAGTTAAGAAAAGATGGAAAATTCTTTGACTAATTAGAATCCCAGAATTGTAGAACCAGGCAAGTCTTGAGAGATCGTTCAGTGTGACAATATTTATTTCATTTTGTGTCTTTATTTTTATTATCTCATCTGGTATGTCTCATCATAAATATGGTGGCATTAGAATGTGTTCCTTCTTGCTCGTTAACAGCTTGAGAATTGTAACTATGCAGTGGAGCTGGGGAAGAATCAAGCTAAGTTTTCCCTGGTTGGCATCGGTGGACAAGATCTCAATGAAGGAAATCGTACTCTAACATTAGCCTTGATATGGCAGTTAATGAGAAGGTAATGTAACTCGGGGAAGTGGCTTTTTATTGAAGGTATTATCAACCTGGAAAAATACTAGCAAATTTTCAAGAATGTGACACAAACCAGCAAAACTACATTTTAAGCTAAACTTAAAACCAAAGTTGTGTTTTGTTCTTTTCCTGTCATTTTTTTTCCTTTCAAGTCTTTAAATTTTCTTTCAGGTATTTTGGAACTCTGTTATTAGATTTCTAAATATTTTAGATGGCTTGTCCTTTTAATGAACCACTCCTTTCTCATCATGGCATGACCTTCTTTATTCCTGGTAATATTCTTTTCTTTGAAATCTACTTTTTCTGATGTTAATATAACTACTCCAGCTTTTTCTTGATTAATTTTAACATGACATATCTTTTTCCAGTCTTGTTTTTAGATTTGTATAAGTAACAAATTATCTTTTAAAGAGACTTTCAAAATAAGGGGAAAAGGTGCTATACTTACTTAGACATTTGCTATTCCTGGTGCTTTTCTTTTCGTGGTGCAGATCCAGATTTTCATCTGATAATCATTTGCTTTCTATCTGAAATATTTCTAGTAGTGTGAAATCCTCCACTGGTGAGGATGCATTTCAGCTTCCACATGCCTAAAAAGTCTTTATTTCATTTTCATGAGTATGATATTTTCTCTGAGTATGGAATTCTAGGTTGGTAGTTTTTTCTTCCAGTACTTTAAAGGTAATGTTCTTTGTCTTCTGGCTTGCATTGTTTCTGCTGATAAATCTGCTGTCATTCTTAACTTCATTCCTTTGTACATAATGTCTTTTTTCTCTGGCATATTTTCAGATTTTCTCTTTTTCACTGGTTTCAAGCAAACTGATGATGATGGGCTTTGGTGTTTCTCGTGCTTGAGGTTTGTTGAACTTCTTGAAACTGAGGGCTTATAGTTTTCATCAACTGTGGGAAATTTTGGTTTTTATTTCCTCAGATACGTTTCCTGTACTACCCAGCGCAGTTTGTTTTTGGGGGACACATATTTGTCCAAATCCACACATATTTGGTCATTTGAAGTTGTCCCAGGGTTCACTAATACTCTATTCATTTTTCCCCTGTTTCATTTTTCCTCACTACGTTTCATTTGGGATCATTTCTATTGCTTTGTCTTCAAATTCACTGAGCTCTTTCTTCTGCAGTGTCTAATCTTACATTGGTTCCATCCAGTGTGTATAGTATTTCTTTTTTATCTCAGACATTATAGTTTTCATGTATAAAAATTTGAGGAGGGTCTTTTAAAAGGCATCTCCCGTATCTCTTTCCTCTACCTTCTTGAACATACAGAGCATAATTATAGTAACTGTTATTTCTGAGTCTGTTTCTATTAATTGATTTTTATCTTCATTATAGGTCATATTTTACTGCTGCTTTGCATGCCTACTAATTTTTTATTGTATGTAAGGCCTTGTGAATTTCACCTTGCTATGGGCTGGATACAACCATATGCCTTTAAATATTCTTAAATTTTGTCCTGGGATGCAGTTAAGTTACTTAAACACAGTTTGATCCTTTGCAGACTAACTTAAAAGTTCAATTAGTCTTGAGCTAATTTTGTCTCTCAATACTGAGATAATCTCCTCTGAGTACTGAACTTCAGGTTCCATGTATCATGAGGTTTTAACACTCCAACTGGTGGGAACCAAATTATCTACAGTGCTGTGTGAGTTCCAAGAATCATTCTGCCCCTTCGTTTCTGACAGCTCTGGTCCCAGTCTCTGGTAGTTTTCTCACACACATGTGCTGAGTTAACTCACTTTACCCAGCTAAAGACCTGTGGCAAACCCTCTGAAAGTGTCTGGAGCTTTCTTTCTAGATGAATCTGTCCTTTCCTGGCAGCTCTCCCCTCTCTGGTATTCTGCCCCACAAATTCCAGGCACCTTGGCTTCCTTGAGGTCTCAATCCTGTCCTCTCAACTCGTAGGGACTACTGTGCTCCGTTTGGGTTCTCTCTCCCTGCGTTGCAGCCTGGAAACTCTTCGTGTAATACACTGGGATAATCTTAGGGCTCACCAGATTTGCTTTCCTTATTTCAGGGGCAGACTGTTTTGTGCTTCCTATTATCCAGCATCTGAGCAACATTGTTTCATATGTTTTTCATTGTGTTTGGGTGTTTAAGGCAAAAAAGGAAATCTGGTCCCCGTTACCAGACCATGGCCAGAAGCAGAATTTCCTGTTCGTTCTTCACAAGACAATTTTCGATACCTTTTAGAGTTTAATGTAAACTTAATTAATGTGAGAGCCATGTGGCAATGTTATTTGAAGAAGGTAGAATATAATATGTAAGTAGAAAATAAATTATCAGAAAAGTCAACAATTTTTGGTACAAAACCATGAGCCTGGGAAGAATTTAAGAGAGCAAATCTGTAAATATAAAATAGTTTACTTTTTTTTTTTTTTTTACTTTTTTCCAACGTTTATTTATTTTTGGGACAGAGAGAGACAGAGCATGAGCGACGAAGGGGGCAGAGAGAGAGAGACACAGAATGGGAAACAGGCTCAGGTTCTGAGCCATCAGCCCAAGCCCCTGACGCATGGGCTCTCAACTCACCGACCATGATCGTGACATGGCTGAAGTGTTGCAACAACAGCGCCGCAGGCGCCCCTAAAATAGTTTACTTTTAAAATGCTTCACACTTTCCCCCTATACTGATAGCCTTGACCAGGCAGAAATCTTACAACCCTTAATTAGAACCTATGTTACTGTGGCTTAATTCATTTTCTACCTGGAAGGAAGTTCCAGGGGCCACATGTCACATTACATTATGTCTAACAAGTGAATGACAAATATAAGGCATGTAGTGTCTCTAGGCACTCCAGCTTTATTCCCCAGCCACCGTCCATAGATCCTGATACTCATAATGGCCCCATAATTATGGCCCCATAAGTATGGCCCCATAAGTATGGCCCCATAAGTATGTCAGGCGATGCCGTATAGTCAGAAATGACCATAATGGAGTTCGCTACCCGATTCACGCGTGCTTTATCTGGTGTAGTGCTCAACTACCCATCTCTAACCTGAGGACTCCTTGAAATTTAAAGGCAGATGTTACAAGGCCCTTCTGGCCCAGAAGACTTCAGAACTAAAGAAACTTCAGCTCCGTCTTTCATTTTGCTGTGTGCATTTAGAACGTCACTGAAAGTGCCCAAGGGCTGCCCTAACCAGCATATTTTCAGAAACACATGTGACCTATTTTCAATTGTCTTTCACGTGTGTTTTTAATTTGTAATAGACTGGCTTCAGCTGCTGATTGCTTTATTTTTTTTTTAATGTTTTATTTATTTTTGAGAGAGAGAGAGAGAGACAGAGTGAGCAGGGGAGGGGCAGAAAGAGAGGGAGACGGAATCCCAAGCAGGCTCCATGCTGTCAGCGCCGAGCTTGACGTGGGGTCTGAACTCACGAACCATGAGATCATGACCTGAGCCAAAGGTGGACGCTTAACCAACTGAGCCACCCGGGTGCCCTGATTGCTTTAAAAAACAAAACGAGTCTTTTTAGTTACAATGGTTAAGTTGACTTTTGGGTTTGAATATGAAATAATCTTTGATATTTTCTGTTTTAATGATAAAAAAAAAAAACTCAGGCCATTGTTTTATGAGACCTGAAAATCACTTTGTAATAGCATCTTTGTTCTGTACATCTTATAGAAACGTGGCCCGATGCCGTACTTTATGGCTGGTGTACATGTGATAAAATCTAGACTGCAGCTGCTGTCCCACCTGGTTAATAAGTCACATTTCTCCTGAGCCTTTACTACAGCATGGTGCATATAAGAAAGTGGACAGACAAATGCATTTCTGTTGAAGGCGATGAAATGACCGATAATTATATAAATGCAACCAGAAGGGATTTTTTTTTTCTCTGTGTGCTACACATTCACAGATCTGTTAAATTTAGAGCTAGTTCTAGCCGGAATTTATTTCATCGGATTGCACAGATGTGCTAATTTGGTTATTTATCTGGCCAATAAATGGTATGTCATTCCCCCCCCTTCCCCCGCCCACCAAGAACAAATGAGAGATAGATGTGTGCTTAAACCTCCCTTTCCCCTTCAGTAGCCTGGGAATTGTTCTCAGATTAGAAAGCTGGCAAATAGTGTGTGTATAAATTTGGAGACAAAAGCTAGATAGGCGTAAGCTGCTGGCAGACGGCAATGACAATTAGACTCCAGCAAATGACCAAAGAGGCAGGCAAATGAGGAATTCACCCCAAATCAAACAGGCCGTGGGCAGTGAATTTGGGTTAGGTCCTTGCGAAACAGAACACCAGGGCTTGTCCCTCTGGGTCAGACGTGAAATAAATCAAACAAGCATCGGAAGGCAGGAAAGCAAGCCAGTAATCTTCGCAGACCCTCCAGCGCTGCACATGCCCACCTCATCAATCCTCTTTTGTTGAATCAGGCAGTGGCTGAAGCCAGAGCTCACGACACCCTTTCGCCGTGACAGAGGGCTTTTCAGCACCGCACAGTTTGCAAACACCAGTGATACTGGGATCCTGTCTAGAAGTTCCAGTTCAATATCAAACATGTTTGATGGCGTGGAGGAAGATAATCAATCTTCCTACCAAGGAAAATCCTAGGCAGACATGGGCCAAATGGATTTTTGTTTCAAATTTTGAATCTACAGTTAGTACTCTGTGGACAGTCCAGAATTGAGACTCTGCCCTAATTCTATCCTTTCTTTTTACCATTTTTACTTCCAGGTGGGTATATGATTCCATTTAAACCGCTACACCTTCCTTGAGGTGGGGGAAAGGCAGTTTTGTACTCGGCAGAACTCTGGGCCACCCCGAGGGGCCATACTCAGACCCCTCACTGCAGTCAGCTGCCTCCCATGATTTTCTGCGCGTCCCTAAGTTTCCTTGTTCCTTGGTGGCTGGCTATTTGTGTTTGCACAGATAGACTTTTGTGTAGAGGTGAGCCTGTGTGTACCACTTCCTTCCCTGCTTCTGGGAGGAAGGAAGGTGTGCCTTCCTTCCTTCCTTCCCTGCTCCTGTCCACTTAAGGGTGTTGGCAGGGAGGCACCACTTCCTCTGCCTTTCACAATCCTTCCAGCCGGCCTAAGAACCAAATTAACATGAGACCGCTTAGTAGGAGAAAGTCAAATTTAATTTTGTAGGAACAGGAATCCACACAGACATGGAGATTCCAAAGATGGTCAGGCAAAATGAGGTATATACATCCTTCTGAAATAAAGAGACGGGGTTAGGGGTCTGGGACTTCGAAGGGAAGAAAGAAAATTGGCGGGAAGGTGAAAAAAAGTAAATGTTTGGGAAACAGATGTTTGGTGGGCCACTCAGAAACAATGGACATGGAGAACTTTGATCAAAAAGAACTTTCTAGTTTCCTCCCAATCTACTGCACCTAGTTCATAGTGTAATGCAATCAATTATCTCTGATGCTGGCCCTCTTCCTGGAGCAGGTCCTCTATCTAAATTTTTTAAGGCACTCCTAAGAGGGAGTAAAGAGCTTTTCCTGAATCTGTTGGGTTTTGATGGCTTTTTAACTCAAAATAATCTGTATGCCCTTGGTCCCTACACTATCAACAAAGCAGTATGGGCCTCCTGACAAAGGGAAGTGAGAACACATCCCTGAGATGAGCGGAGCCTCCAGCAGATGAGCTCAGTTCACCCCATGAGGCTGCATATAGACATGACCCGATGAAGCATGAGTTCATCTGCCTTCTCTTACCACGTTCACCAGGCAGAAATTCCTAAATGTTAACAGTAAATGCTCGTAAGTCAATACCCCTGCTCACTCTCAGGGAACACGAAGCCACTTATGCCAAAAACCATCATCTTCATGAACTGATCAAAAACTAGGGCCTTGTTCTAAGAGAGGATCATTTTGAAAAGCTACCTGAGACTTACCCCATTTGTATCCTTTAATTCCTTAGCATTTGATCCTATCTCTGGGCCCAGACTAAGCATTTCTCATCTTGACTTTCTCCTTGCTTTCTGTGGGAGGAAGTCATTTTATTTATTGCACCTACCACTCCAGTCTCTCAGTTACTAGAGCTTGAAGCATCTTTTTAATCCCCCCCCACACACACCCAAAACCCAATTCTCATAATAGTATGTGTGAAAGGTGATTCTTATGCTTAGACTAGAGATTCACTTTAGTCCGTGTATTCCTAGTATTTCTCTTTTTATGATAGAAGAAGGAGACTCTTTTATATTTTTTCCTTTATTATGTTGGCCCTTGGGGTTTTTTTAACATTGAATTATTTGTCAATTTGTAGGGTTCCTTTACGAAGAGTGTCACTGTTTTGAATCCTTTGCTCTGTTTTCCTTTCCTTCTCTTCTCTTGTGCTTTCTCTTCCGACCCAGAGCAATGACTGTGCTCAGAAGGATGTATTTGTTCTGCATTTCACTATAATAACGATAAAGCTACATTTTAAATTTTCCTAAAAGGAACAAATGTTGTTATTTTTTTTTTCCCCACAAACCTAACGGTATCTAGGCTCCGTGCCGCGGCATTTCTAGAAAGAAAAGAACATTTCTACCCTGGCTATTTTCTGTGTCATTGAATTCCTTAGCAACTTTTCTCCAGAAATCATTCTTGATTTTTTTTTTTTTCAGGTACACCCTGAATATTCTTGAAGAAATTGGAGGCGGGCAGAAGGTCAATGATGACATTATTGTCAACTGGGTGAATGAAACATTGAAGGAAGCAGAGAAAAGTTCATCCATCTCCAGTTTCAAGGTAAAAATCTTAGTCTACCGCTCACAGCCACCTGAGCTCTATGCTAATCTTTATTGTTTTCACTCCATTTTAAAGTGACCTTCAGTGTGAGGTATCTGAGGCTCCCCCTCCAATTTTGATTTTGCTTGAATGGCCCATTATTGTTTTGACGGTCACAGGCCATTTCATTGACAAATTTCTTGTCACTTTCTCCTGAAATAATTAATTTAAAAAACCCATCGTCTTAGCACCTTATTTTAGGCATGTTTCTTCCAAAGTAACATAAAATATAATATTTTTTAAATGTGCATGGCTCCGTGATTCAGATTTTTAGCATAATGATGGTGAAATGTAAAATACCAAAAGATCTCCCGTGTGATATTTTTTCGGAGAAAAGTAGTTGTGTACTTGTATCCAAATCCCATTTTTATTAAAAACAGCATTATATTTTATTAAATTTCTTAACTCGTGTTTCATACATTAGTTGGATCCTTCCCCTAGGGACTTGCACACCTGATTCGTGTCATAATGTCTGGACCGTCTTAACTATGTTTTTTTTTTGGTTTAAAGGTCAGGAATTAGGGCAGGGGACCCCTTCAGTGTCTGTATTTCTATGATTGCAGAGGCAGTTTGTCACCATTCAGTCTTCTGCTTCAAAATCAGGAAAACAGCCTTCTGCTTCAAAATAAAGAAAAAAAAATTAAAGTTTCACCCCACCAAAAAGAGTAGGAAGTATTTCTGAGTTGTGCTATACCAAGAGCGCCCACTCCCTGTGAGCTCATCACAGATAACGGCTGACCCTTCCGTCTGGAGAACTTAATAGAGGCAGGAGCAGAGGCTGGTGAGAGGCGCAAGCAAGGTCTAATGAAAGAAGATTTGGAAAGGCAGGCTTTGTCAGAGCTACTGGACCCTGCTGTGGTGGCCGGGAAGCAGCTATGGGGAAGTATATATACGAATGGGCATGGCTGTGTTCCAATAAAACTTTATTGATAAAAGCAGACAACGGGCCACGTTTGGGAGCACTCTCAGTATGGAGTGTGCCCTGAGTAGCAGAGGCTCCTTGTTTATGATGTATCAGGTCATCTCACAGACATTGTGAAGGCGGCTTTACTGTTTTCCTCATTTTATAGGTAAGGAAACTGGAACTCAAGTAATCGAGGTTACAGCTAGTAATTGCAGGGGAGGATCCATCAGGGAGCGGAATGCGCCTTTACCTGCAGGGTGAGGTTACCGAGCAGTGTGTATCTCTAGGTTGCTTAACCATTACTATGCAGGGATTGGGTAGATAGCCCCGAGGTGCAATCTTTCTGTAACACACGTGCCGCTGGGGCCCGCCAGGTCACCCTGGGGCTTCTGGGGCCTTCTCCTGGGACTCACTCCTGGGAATGTTTGACAGCTCTTTGGTTTCTTGTGTTGCTCTGGGCTAATTTTCTCCTGTCTTCTCACTAAGTCATTATAGAATTGATGAAGTAAAACACACACACACACACACACACACACACACACACGGAAGAAGTCAAATTAGCCCCACATTCTTTTTAAGTGAAACCCTAAAAAACTGAACACACTTCACTCTTGATGAACCATTTTGGAAATAGCCCTGGTCCCCTCCTCATCTGTGAATGCCAAGTGCTGGTCACCTCTGCCCATCGGCACTTCGGCAAGATGGTGGGCAGAAAGTAGGTGAGACGGCCAGACTCAGACCCTTCCATTTTGTTTCCCTTGCGGCTGTTCATCAAGGCTCAGGCTAACGCTGGAAATGGTTGTGATTGCATAGTAATTCATTTTTGTGGCAGTTCTCCTATTACCAAGAAGTAAATAAAAATGGACGCTTTATCTTTTTAAAAATATCATTCTTCGTCTTATCCAGAGGACCAGTCCTAGAGACCTAGCATCTTGCAGGGGTCCTCTAGCTCATTTCTTACTAAGAATTTATTCTGAGGGGCGCCTGGATGGCTCAGTCAGTTAAGGATCCGACTTTGACTCAGGACATGATCTCACGGTTCGTGAGTTCAAGCCCCACGTCAGGCTGTCTGCTGTCAGCACAGAGCCCGCTTGGGATCCTCTGTCTCCTTCTCTCTCTGCACCTTCACTACCCACTCATGCTCTCAATCTGTCTCAAAAATAAAAATTAAAAAAAACATTAAAAAAAGAGATTTTTCTGATTTGGACCCTCCAGGTGTGCAGTGTTTGGACTTGACCGTGCTCAGATGGTGTGGGCAGCTGCCTCTCCATGTGTGCTCACAGGTCCCCGGGATGGGGGAGAGCACGTGGGAGCATCCACGGCTCTACGCGTGAAAATCACAGTGTTTCACAGGGCCAGAGAAAAGAGCCCAGGATTTTAAGTCCGAGTACCCAGGTTCAAATCCCAGCTCCACCACTTATGAGTGAGGCACTTAACCTCAGAAACTCTCTTCACTCGCTATAAATTAAGACGAGATGCCTATACCTGGGGTTTGCAGTGACACGTGAGGTAGCCTAGGAGAAAGTTCTGGGCAAACAGTGAGGCACCGACAAGTGCTAGTTATCGTCACTGCATTTAATCACACAACTGCCACAACCACCTCCTTAGACCCATGGACTCTATTCTTTCCCTGAGGTCTCCAAGAAAGGGGCGTCCTCTGAAACTCCTGCCCAGCGGGGGCCTCATCATGATCCCTGCCAGTCACTTCCGGGATGTCATATGAACCTGTTGCCATTCACTGTTTGCCTGTGGGCAGACAGTGGGTTTCCTCAGCTTAGTGAGGCAGGCGCCAGGAAGTTGGTGACGCCCCTACAGAAACTACAGTTGACTTGCAACACCGTGTGGAACACTGTGGCATTTCCCAGTGTAGGCTGTATTTATTTCGTATTTAAGACGAGAGATGGGGCGCCTGGGTGGTTCAGTTGGTTAGGCGACTGACTTCGGCTCGGGTCATGATCTCACAGTTCGTGCGTGAGTTCGAGCCCTGCGTCGGGCTCTGTGCTGACAGCTCGGAGCCTGGAGCCTGCTTCAGATTCTGTGTCTTCCCTCTCTCTACCCCTCCCCTGCTCACGCTCTGTGTCTCCCTGTCTCTCAATAATAAATAAATGTTAAAAAAAAAAAATTAAAAAAAAAAAAGACGAAAGAACCAGCCATTTCCCTTGAGCTGAACAGAAGTAACTTGGGGGCATATTGATGGACCAACTCTTTCTCTCTGCGCAGGACCCGAAGATTAGCACAAGTCTACCTGTTCTGGATCTCATTGATGCCATTCAACCGGGTTCCATTAACTATGACCTTCTGAAGACGGAAAACCTGAATGATGAAGAGAAACTCAACAATGCAAAGTACGTAAACAAACCTGAGGCCGGGGAGGCGGGGGACCCAGCTGGCAACTGGGTAATAGCTGTAAAGGCTATTGCTTGTGCCTTCGCACAGTTTATTGCACTAGCGATGCTTTTTCTTCTCATTATTTACTGTGTCGCATCATCATTATTTTAGACATTGCACAATAGCAGCTGAAGAGTCCTAGTGTTAAGCATGGGGGCAAGACCAAGAACAACAAGGATATTCTTCCAGTTGAGAAGCAAGCCTATAGTTTCATAAAACCAATGTCCTAATCATAATCTATGGGAGACTTCCTAAATAAGGTACATGGCAGGCCCAAATATAAACATCCCATTTGTGATTATCCGTGGATATGAATAGGCAGGGGGTGGGGTTCAAGGCCAGAGTCTTTACCAGCTTGAGAGCGGCTCCCTGAGGGCAGCTTTGGCATGTAGAGTGAGGGTCAGCACATGATGGCCTGTGAGCCGAATTTGGTCTGTTGTCCGCTTTTGTAAATAAAGTTTTATTGGCATAGCCGTGCCTGTTCATTTATATATTTTCTGTAGCCGCTTCCCTGCTAGAAGGGTGGACTCGAGTCATTGCGACAAAGCCCACAAAGCCTAAAATGTGGGCTCTGTGAGTTTTTGTGGCAAGTTTGCTGACCCATCCTCTGGAGGGGTGCCTTTCTCGGAACAGGTTGTATCAGTTTCCGATGGTGGTCGCAACCGAATACCACGAACAGGGCAGCTTAAAACAACGGAAATGTATTGTCTCGGGGCGCCTGGGTGGCGCAGTCGGTTAAGCGTCCGACTTCAGCCAGGTCACGATCTCGCGGTCCGTGAGTTCGAGCCCCGCGTCAGGCTCTGGGCTGATGGCTCGGAGCCTGGAGCCTGTTTCCGATTCTGTGTCTCCCTCTCTCTCTGCCCCTCCCCCGTTCATGCTCTGTCTCTCTCTGTCCCAAAAATAAATAAAAAAAAAAAAAAACGTTGAAAAAAAAATTAAAAAAAAAAAAAAACAACGGAAATGTATTGTCTCACAGTTGTGGAAGCTAGAAGGACAAGACTGAGGTGTCGGCAGGGTTGGTTCCTTCTCAGGCTGTGAGGGAGGGTCGGTCCCGTGCCTCTCTCCTCGCTTCTGGTGATGGGCAGCAGTCCTTGGCCAGCAGTCTCTGCCTTCCCCTCCAGGTGATCTTCTTCCCTGTGTGTCTATGACTTTATGTGGCTGTCTTCCTTCTGTGTCTGTGTCTCCTCTATGACCTCATCGTAACTAAGTACATCCGAAACAACTTTCTTTCCGAAGAAGGTCATCATCTGAATTACTAGGGGATAGGGCTTCCACCTATCTTTGGGCGGGGAGACACAATTCAACCCATCAGAAAGTTCCAGAATTAACAAGTTGAGTAGTGCCTGGCAGCCCTGTATGTTCATAACCTCAATAGTATTCTTCTTTTCACAGTTTGGGGAAGTGTAGGTCCTTTGTTCCTTGTATGCTGGAATTACAAATGGCAGTTACAAGAGATGGTGGGGGGAGGGGGTACGGGGTACTATGGAGGGGACAGGAAGGGAAACAAAGCTCTATGGAGCAAGTAACATCTAAGATGAGATAGTAATAAAGAGGTGGCGGTACCCAGGTGAAGGAGGCAGAAAGGATGCTAAAGGGAGGAATATGTGTGAAGGCCCAGAAAAAAGAAAAAAAGACTTGGGCCTAGTTTTTCAAGGGGAATGCGATGAGGCTGAAGGAATTTGAAGCTCCTCAAGTTCACTTACAGAGCCCAAGGTCATAGAATTACTAAGTGGTCCAGCTTAGATTCAAAATCGGACTTCAGAGCCCAGGCTCTCGAGCACTCTTCTCTAAGGACAGGATACAAAATTACTGAGAAAAATGGGTAAAAGCAATTCTACAAAAATGCCCCAAAATGGCTGTGTTATGGTGGCAAGATTTGCATGATTTTTTGAGGCTCTTGTTTCTAATTTTTCAACGATTCCCCTCTCCCTTTTATAATGGGAAAATACATTTTAATTTCATTGATCATTAATGTAGAGGCAGTGATTGAGACATGAGCAGGAAGCAAAAAATGGGGACCACTCCTGCCTGAGGCCCTTAATTTAATGTGATCAATAGAGTAAGAGTTAAGTTGGTCTAGAGAGCAGAGGGCATAATGGGGCCTTGGGTGGCTTGGAGAGTCTCTTGAGTCGCCATTGTAAGAGGTTACTACTTACAGGTCATTACTAAGAGGTAATCGCCGAGGTGAAAAAAAGAGTTTCCAGGTAGCAGTGTGGGCTCATTTGAAAAGAGATCATAACTCATAAAAATTATCTTCATATAATTATAAAAACAGAGCAAACTGTTCCACTGGAGCTGTGATAATTTTACGCAAAAAATGGGTACTGTGAAACTCTGGCTATTCTAGTGTTAGAGTAGCATCAATAAATGCATGCCTCCGCGGGCAACGATCGCATCGGGGCAAAGAATGAAACTGACGCGTGAGGTCAAAGTATGAGACAGACGCATCTCCCCTCCTTTCTCCCTTGTGCGAGTGTTTCTGTCGTTGCAATGCGGTCCGAAGACCTGTCGCAGCACCCATCCTTTTCAGTCCTATGACCTGTTTTGCTGCCCTGCAGCCCGAGCGGATCCTCGTGGGGAAGGCATCAGAAGCGGCAGGAGCTAGGGAGGTCCGTAAGGACAGATGAGAGATTTTGTAATTTTGTAATTGTCGTGAGTGGCCGAGCTCGGCTCCCAGAAGCGGAAGGAGGCTGTGACTGGCTCCCGCTGTCCCAGCCGTGAGTCCTGCAGAGCATAGGGCATGTGGCACATGGCGTGTGGTCTGTAGTATGTGGTACGACTGTAACTCTGATCCTAAGGGGTCCCCTTCATCCGCTGTTCCTCAGGCTCCCCTCATCCTTCCTCTTTTCTCCTTTTAGGTATGCCATCTCCATGGCCCGAAAAATCGGAGCAAGAGTGTACGCCCTTCCAGAAGACCTGGTTGAAGTGAATCCCAAAATGGTCATGACAGTGTTTGCTTGCCTCATGGGGAAAGGCATGAAGAGGGTGTAAGGCCCAGAGGGGAGGTGACACACACACACACACACACACACACACACACACACACACACACTGGCTGAGCACGGGACACCTACAAGAAGCAGGGGGGCGATTCAAGCCATTCCGGAGTTTTCAACCCGGTGACACGACACAGGATTCCAAAAAGTGTATATTTGTCCAGCCAGGTAGCCTGTCCTGTATTTAACAAAAATGCTTCATTCTTTGCAAAAAAAAAAAAAAAAAAAAAAAAAAAAAAAAAAAAAAAAAAAAAAAACAACCCAAACCCAACCTCTTACAAATATTTTTTTATGGTTGAATTTATTGCCTCTTTGAAAATTTGGAGGGGAAAAAAAACACCTTATCTTCCAGGCATCCTTCATGCTTTTTGCCATTAGTCACGTTTAGTAGCTATGGTGTTATTAATTTTAATAGTACTTCCAACTGGCTTAATTTAGCTGCCTTTTTTGTTCAAGGTGAGAACCAGGAGAGGGGGATATCACCAAACCAGTCCTTAAAGCCTGTTTCCGGAAGGCAACATTTGCTCTGTTACGAGCCTCACCTTCTGTTCCCCTTCGCCTACACTCTGTCTCCTCCGGCTTTGCTCCACACTCTCTCCAAACTATACCTTCTCTGTGGCCCACCTCTGCTGCCCGCTGTCATGTCTGAGCCATTTGAAGCACCTGACGAACCAGTCAGGCTGGTGGGGTCCCCAGAATCTCTGGAGACCTGCAGAAGTAAAACATCATCAGAGCCTTCCCTCAGAACTAGGGTCCCAAATGTCGTGAAGTTTTGGTTTTGTCAACCAATAGGAAGCTTCTGCTTTTAACTCTAGAATTTGGGCTCGGGCCAGGTCTAACATCTTCAATACTGTGCCTTCAGAAAGATTGCGAACTCCAGACAGGTGACGTCCAAGGAGGGTGTCATTGAGCATCCGACCACTAGGGGGAAGTGTGGAGCCATAGCAAAGCCTCTGTCCCCCACCCACTGCGGCGCCGCCTGGGGTATGGCTAACTAACCACTCAGCTCTGCTTTCGTTTGCTCTTAGATCTTAGTGCATCTGGTTGCTGCAAGGCCATACTATCAGTGTTTACTTTTTTGGTACTTCAGATGCTTTTTGCCACCCCCGGGCTCAAGGGGCCGATGTGTGCCAATGAACAGTGCCACCCTCCACAGCGTTATGTACACCTAATGACATTTAAAGAATTCTGAAGCCAAATCACAGGAACAGTGTGAATTTGAGCAGCCCGAATAGGTTATACGATTTCCGTGAAAGCATACTGAAGGCTAAAGAGCCACAGAACATTGTGAACCGACACTAGGGTCCCTCCATCATGGTGACAAGGCTCATCAACGAGGTATCTTGTAATGGAACTTAGCCATTTTTCAAAGCAATTGAAACGCCTCGCCCTGCATCTGTTCCCTGGCAGCAGGTTCGAGAAGCCAGTATGTGGCTTCTCCCGGCCCATAATCTATATTTCTGCTGCATCTGCTGGCTTTATGTTAGACTGAACTTAATGTAGCCTCGGATGATTCTCCCCCGCCTGCCTCCTGGAAGATTGTTACTGCCTTAATGGAAAATGAAGATAAAATAGTGATCCAGATCTCTCCAAATAAAGTGTTCCCTTCATTAGATGTCTCTGGATGTTTCCTTTTGAAAGTTTTGTGGGCATGTAGTATAACTTGTTATTTCATTCAGCCAACATGCAGTAAAGGGCCTAATGGGTGTGGTAGGCCTTGTGCCAGATGGCAGAAATGTGCCGCTAAATAAGTCGCATCGTGCTCAGCTCATCAGGAAAGACTGAGGTTGAACAAACTGGCAGATGTGGTAAGTGATAAGTAACAACAGAGGGAGACAGCCTTAGAAGAAATATTTTAGCTAAAAACTGAAGAGTCAGCTGGAGTTGGACACATTGAACCCAGTCATGAGCAAAAGCCAGATGTGGAACTTGGTGCGACATGGCTTCTAGGATGAGCCAAGAGGGAATCCTTTCTGGCTGGCCGTATCTGATGTCCCCTCTCTAGCCTGGCTGTCCACACGTTGGCCGGCGGGATGCAGGACGGGAAGGAGCGTGGGGAGAATGCTGAGGAATTTCGCTGCAGCCCGGATCCTCTCAGGTGAGCCACTGTGATGGAGAAGCGCCTATGTGGCAGGGCCAGCAGACGATTGTCACACGCACACGGCTGCCTGGAAGCTGGGAGTCCCAGCTTCACCAACAGCTTCTTTCTGGAGGTGGCTCTTTCCCAGCCTGAACATTCCTGCAGCTTTCACACTCAGGAGGTAGCCGCCTTCCTGTATGACCGAGAGGCTGCAGATAGGAATGGTTCCTTTTCGTACAAGGCTGAGTTGATAGCTCACCTGACAAAGCCCGACCAGGCACAAGGAAGGAAAACTCAGCCTTTTGGGGAAGACAAGGCTAACGGAGTCTACCAGGCTAGTCGTGATAATTTTTCTAAATTTCAAGGTTTGTTACATTTTAAATAGTCAATCCAAATATGGCATCAGAAGTTAAAATCGTACCAGAGGATTTACAGTGGAGAGGGGCCCAACTTCCCACCTCTGGGTCTAGAGGTGTGTGCCCTGAGGCCAGCTCCCATCACCTCACTGGAGCCAATTTTGGGAGCCTGTTGTTACATCATTATTCGAAACTGGCCGTGATGGAAGTAAGTGTTTATGCCACATATGTGATCCAACTCTACAAATGGGGCTCTTTGTCTTATCCCCAGAGGGCTGGTTTATCAACTCACCACACCCCCCTGCCCCGTCCCCCGGTTCCGCTCCTGGTCAGCAGCCACGGTTACTAATTCCTTTTGTATCCTTCTAGAAATATTCTATACACATAACGCACACGCACACACACCCCTTTTTTATTACAAATATTAGCGTACCATACCCGTAATTCTGCATCTCACTTTTTTTTACTTAACACCGTGTCTTGGAGATTGTTCATATAGACCTGCCTCCATCCTTTCGTTAGGGTACAGTCTTTTATTATCTAGATATCCCAAACTGCACTTAACCAGTGGCTTATAAATAGATATTTAGGCTGTTTGATTGTTTGCCTCAGCAAATAAGGCCACAGTGGATAATAATATATCTACTTCCTGTGCACAGAATGTTAATTCTAATTTGACAGGAATTTATCAAGTTCCGTCTCGATCAAAGGTATTAATGTCAGATAGTAAAGCATAGGTCCTCTTTTAAGTTCCTTCAAATTATCTGACAAAATGGATCCTTTAGCTGATCCCAACTTCTCCATTTTATACCTAAAGGAGCATGTTGACTTGAGAGCACGCGTCTCTTGATCTCAGGGTCATGAGTTCGAGCCCCACACTAGGCATGGAGCCTACGTAAAAAAAAAAAAAAAAAAAAAAAAAAAAAAAACAAGCATGTCGATCCAACAAGGAGATGATGTGCATACACGTACACACACAAAATGTAATAAAAGGCATAATGTGATAAACCCTATAACAAATTTGTAAATAAGGTATGGGAGCGCAGGGGAAAATTAATTCTGAATGAAGGGTTGCCAAAACTGGAAGAAGAGCTGTCCTCCAATGAATGGGAAGGCAAGAACCATGCTTTATACATGTCAAAATTCCATGCAGAACCAAGCATTTTTCCAGACTTTTAGTAAGAGCTCAGGAGCGCTCTCAAAATCGATTCATATTAAACAAAAGTGTTTCCTGACCATGAGAGACGCCAAACAGAGAAGGTCACTGGGGGGAAAATGATAAAGCCGACATGCATACTCAGGTTTCAGAACGGAAGGTGTTCCTGTGTGTGTGTGGAAATTATGAGAGGCTGTCTGATGCAATGCGATGGACTAGATGTACTTTTAAAGTCTCAGCCGGAGTGATTTTATCCACCTACACACACGCACACAGTCTAGTCTGTTCCCGGAAGCACAGCTGCGGTCTTGATTGTAAAAGCTGCATGGGTTCAGCCCACCGTAGACCAGCCCATCTCGGACTGATGCTTCCCGCACAAGACACATTTCCGTGTGCTCCCAGCATCCCTGGATGGCTCCTGTTCCAACCTGCTGCCCAAGTTAGCGCACCTGTTGTCAGCACAGCGGCTGCTGAGATGTAATGGACTTTTGTTCTCCGTCTACCCAGTGTACCAACACACGTGGATTAAATGCTGGCAGGACTCTTGGTGAACTTGACCAGACGTCACTGCCAGCCTCATGATCCAGAAACCAGAGGTGATGCAAATGGCAAGTTAGCGTTGACTGAGCTTCTTGTGAAATCTAGTTCCTTTGATAGTTTCCTAATAAATTTCCAGTAATCAAGGCAGCTGCCGAAGACAACGCTTTACTCAGGGTCCTGTCTCGCCATTTCTGGAAGATTTACCAAATGAGTCTGTGCAGGAGTGACCACAAAAAAAAAAAAGTGAGAAAAGAAAATTGTGTAAATGTTTTCTCAGGTCCGAAGTCTACGTATATTTAATAATCCATCTGTGTCAGGCACAGAAGCATAGATAATCTAGTCAATCCCCACTATTTCACCATTAACAATTCAAGGGCAGGGGCGCCCGCGTGGCTCAGTGGGTTAGGCATCAGACTTCAGCTCGGGCCATGATCTCGCAGTTTGTGAGCCCCGTGTTGGGCTCTGTGCTGACAGCTCGGAGCCTACAGCCTGCTTCGGATTCTGTGTCTCCCCCTCTCTCTACCCCTCACCTGCTCACACTCTGTCTCTCAAAAATAAATAATGAAAAAAAATTCAGGGGCAGGTCAACAAAATGGCAGTAAGTTTTGTTATCTAGCATGTCAAAATTGGGGATTTCCATTTTATTGGGGGGGATTTCCATTTAAATGGGTATTTTGGTTAATAGAGAGCTATCATGTATCATTTTTGGAATAGGAAATTTTAAAGGATTAGAATGCATGCAAATAATTATAAAGCTATGTGTAATGTAGCATTAAAGTTGATAATTCAGTAGGCTTCTCTGGACTTGGCTATCCCAAGGTCCCAATGATGAGTCCCAAATATTCAAACTTTCTTGCCCGAAGGGTAGTACACAGGCCAAAGGCACCGGAAGCTGGTTAGAAATGTACAATCTCAGCCCTTGCCATAGACCTATTAAATCAGAATTTGCATTTAAATAAGATTCCCAGTTAATTCACGTGCACATTGAAGTTTGAGAAACAC